TTCAAGGAAAATAAAGATCAATTCTATTATATTCTCTTCTCTTCTATTCTATTCTTTTCTATTATCTCCCCAACCATTGATCAACAAATTGATCCTCATGGGTGTTTTCCCTGACTTCTTCTAGTTTTTGGTTTTCTGTGTATTGTTATTATTGGATTTTACCTCAGTTGCCAGCTTTTTGAATTATTAAAACTGCAAGAAACCCCTTCAGCTTCCATCTCAGCATTTGGGTCCTCCAAAACCCCTACTCAACCAGACACAGTCATCATCTTAGGTCTTCTTACTGTGTTCTTCTAGGTCCTCCTGTCCAATATTTTGGAGCTGCAGCGCCAAACCGAGAAGCAAGACATCCCTTCCATATTGCCTCATATTGTATGAATGCTGGTTAGGAGAATGACGCACCGGCAAAAATCAAGTGAATTGGATTCTATAAGGATGTTTAAGCAGCTCCTTTGGGCACAGCTGCAAAGGCTCACCATATTGAAATAAGTACATACAGTGTGTCCAACTCTCTTATGCAAAATCTACAATAGTGGAAAAAACAAAAAATAGACATAACATTTTTTTTTAAATACTCTGGAATCTGGACTTAAAACCAAGGTTTTAATCTATCTCAACAGAAAAATATACAAAGATCAGTAGATATGGCTAATTTTTATAAGTATTCTTGACATTCAGGTTTTACACACAGTCATAATAACTATGCTGAAAGAGGCAAATGTTTTGAATAAGAAAAGAGCAATGAGAGATTGCACAACAAATATAACACTGCTTTAGTCTATCTAATAAAAATCAAAAGCTGGAGGGCAGGATAAGCAGGTTCAGATCATATCTAACCGTCTATAGCTCAACATAAATCAGAGTAAAACTCACAGGTGGGGTACATCAAAGCTCCACTCTTAGGCAGCTTTTATTCCACCTCAATATGAGCCATTCAGTTTATCTTCTGTATTACTGAAGAAGTACACTTTTTCTTGAGTTGAGGAGGTAAGTGAAACAATTTGCCAGTGAGACACTGCAATGTCTTATATCAAGTGCATAGTATCTAATTATATAAAAATAATCATTCCATTGGCAAATCATCTTATTTACCTAATCAAATTAAGGGTAAATACACTTAATTTAAGAAACTAGATATTTTCCATAGTTTTTGTAGTGTATCACTGAGTCACAGTGTTGAATATAACAATGTGTAGAAGGGTCAGAACTTTCTCCAGCTAAACACAAATAATACTGAATGCATTTTTTTTTCTCAAAAAATGAATAAATAAATAAAGCTTAGAAGTCAGAAATCAGCTGTACTGTATGACTCAAAAATGCTACTTGACCATATCACACCAGTTGTTAAATTGCTGCACTCACATGTGAGTGGAGCTGGGCGGAGCGAGACATGCATCTGGCTGTTGTCAGGTTACTGGATTTTAGGTTCTTGTTTAATTTTCTATGGAACTAAATAGTCTCAGCCCTAAATGCATTTAAGATTGCTCAGGTATGAGGCGAGGTTATCAGACACCTCTAGACTTTTTTCACACATCCTGAAATTTTCGGTGCTCCTTACTGCTGAAATAAACTATTTGGGTAGATCATGATTGAAACATTATCGATAAATGCCCCATCAATGCTGCTTTATTACTTACATCATAGTTAAGCCACCATGTGCTGAAGTTTTAAAAGGTCTTTCTATTTATGTGAATATGTTTTCCATTTAAATGCACATTGCTTTTTGTATATACTTAGTTTTTTATCTTTGCTTCTTTGTTTTCCTGTGAAGTACATTATTTGTTAAAATAGTTTATTAACATAGATGATTTGTGTCTTAAAATGCAAAAAAGATTTTGTTCTATATTAAAGAGCATAACATTAGTTTTTTCAACTCTATTATTATGTTTTAATACATTACATTTTTTGAAAACATCGCTCTACTGTTAAAAATGCAGGTTACATACATTTGGGTTTAGAGATAGAATCACTTTAATAAGTCAGATGAGTCAAATGAATAATGAAAAAGGGAATAATCGGTCTGAGGCATGCAGGCTATTCAACCACCCAGACTCCTTTATTATAGAACCAAGCTGCTGTAGCCTGATACAAAACCTCTAACCCTCCATTATTGGCTGGAGCCGTCACCAGAACGCAGCACACTTGGCTCAAACAGATCCAGTTCACTATGTAACATGGGAATCATAATCTTTATGCTTCACATTTCCCTAAGCTTTTTTTTTTATTGTTTTGGCCAAAGTCTAACAATTCAAAAACATCACTTTTGTCAACAAAAAAAAAAAAACATACATTATTTATTCCAGTGTGTTCTAACTTTGCTAAGATCCCTGAGACTTTAGAAGAAACTATCTGACTGCTTCTTAAACTGTAGGTTTTTATTGATTTTTCTATCCACATTATTCAAAAATTCATTGTTAGTGTATTTTCTCTTTTAACCTCACTTAAATTGAGTTTTTTATCCTTATGGAAAAAGAAAAAAGTAAATACTTCATCTATAAAAAGTGATTAAAAAATGTCATCATTCCATATTTATAATGTATAATATATAATATATACATGGTAAAGTCAATGTCTTAAGGGAGTTGTAGCTGTAAGCAGGGAGGATCTCCTGTTATGATGCTACCTCAACAGATGATGGCGAAAGAGATCACTCTCTCTACAACAGATTATATGCAGCCTCTTGCTGCAAACACAGACAAACCTTAGCTTCCATAAGAAATACAGTCTACTATGTCCATTTTAATATACAAATTTAAAAACACGTCTCAGGTCCAGTCTGTTGTTCAAGGTGACACAGAGGTGTTTATACTCCTCCAACTCTTCTCCCAGATTGATATTAATGTTTGACTTGTTCCTGTTTCTTCTGAAATCTAGCACCATCTCTTTTGTTTGTTCACTTTCAGATTATTGTTTCCACACGATGTCACAAAGCTGTCCGCCAGCTCCTTACTCAGTGTTTTTTTCCATCTCTGAAGCATTCAGTCATCAGTGTAATTTGCAGGTTAGGGCTTGGGAATCCTGAGGTCCTGAGTTCAAGCCCCACTCCCACGGACTGCCACTCTGGCTCCCTTAACCCCCACACTGCTCCCTGGGCGCCGCACAAAGGCAGCCCACTGCTCCCCAAGGGGATGGATTAAATGCAGAGAGTGAATTTCGTTGCTTTTTTTTATTTTAATGACATAAAAAAAAAGGAATGGTGTAAAAACCATCCCCTGTACTGCTCCTGTGCTGCTGACTACCTGATCAAACACTTGAACCTTCATTCAGTTAGTCTTTAAGCCAGACCTCCATCTGAGTTTTCTGGAGTTTCGTACGAAAATCAGGCTGAATTGTACAAAATGCATTGGAGAAATTAAAGAACATGATCCACACAGGGCTGTTTGCCTTGTCTAAATTACAGCAGGTGTGTCAAAGCAGGTTGTAATGATATCTTCCACCGAAACACCATTATGAGTAAGCACTGTAGGGCATCCTAAGAGTTTCTGTTTGCTTACTCAGGTGGACCAACATGGGGGCTCCATGATGAGATAAAACTTCTCTCTCTTCTCCAAACTCCTCCTGTCTTGCATCCTCTTCTTTTCAACTCATAGGATTGAGGATGTAATTTAACTTTAATTTCAGCTTTTGACAAACAAAAACATGTATCAATACTCTTGTTAGGTTTCTGTTTCTGTTATGTTTTTCTTTTGATATTCAGTTTCTCTTTGCTCTTTGTTTTATGTTTTGTTATGGTTTAGTTCTTATTTTGTTGTGTTCCTTGGGTTTTTCTCAGTTACTGTCTCAGTCTTGGTTCTGTTATATTTTCTTTTTAGTGTCAGTTTTGCTTTACTCCTTCTATTGTTAGTGGTTTTATTTTTATTGTTGCTGTGTTCTCTGGTTAATTCCTAGTTACTGTTTCAGTCTTGGTTCTGTTTTGTTTTCTTTTGAGTATCCAGTTTTGTTTTACTCCTTGTTTTCCAGTTTAAAGAGTTTAACTCTTATTTTGTAGTGTTTTTCTGGTTATTTTCAGTTTTCTTGGTTTATTTGTTGTCCTCTGCTGCCCTCTTATCTTCTCCTTTTTCCCCAGCTCTTTTCCTCTCTTGCTCTATGCCCACCTGCTCCCAGTTTGCTCATTAGCCCTCTCTTTTGTTTCTGTCTCCTATAAATACTCTTGCTGTTCAGTTCCTCTTTGCTGGGTCCTCGTCTAACTCCGTCATACTTCCTCCTATTCGTCTCTCTGAGCCTCCCTCCTTGAGATCTTGGTGTGTTTTGATATTTTTGATCATTGGACTTTGGACAGCTGGTTTCATGTTTGTTTGGACTTTTGTTTTCTTTTTTGATTTTTGGATTCCTAGTTTCCCTGTTTATTTGGACTTTGGTTTTTCATTTTGGGTTTTTTGGTTTTCATTTTTTTTTTATTCATCATTAAATCAAATAGAAATTAACCTCTGCCTTCCTGCCTCTACTTTGGGTCAACTATCCACTAATAAACCCTGACAACCCTTGCAGATGTCGATGCATCGGATCATCGGCTGTTGGATCGATGCATCGATACAAAGCGATTATTATTTACACCCCTAGTATTTTTATACATAAATAAGGGAGTTGAATGTCATTTTTAAGTGTGAGAAATTGGGAAGATAGAGTGAGAGTGTGTGAAGACACTGAAATGGGTTAGTCTCACTCCCAATAGAGGAGAGTTGACAACCCTGCAAATGATACAGAGCAAACTGGTTTATTTGGATATTATCATGTTTTATGCAAAATTAGTTACTTTTGCATGCAGTCTGATATATGTTTTATATAACATGCATGTTGTTTTTTTACAACGTTACATGCGGATTTAAGTCTTTTTTTTTTTTTTTTTTGCAGAAAAAGATGATCTATATGGAACCCCATGCAATATGTTTCTCCGTTAAACAGACTCCAGGCTTCCACCACAGAGAACATAATTTCTCTGTGTCCACAGATGCTGCGTGGAAAATAACAGTGCAACCTGCAGGGAGACAGTGACGCCGTGCGGCCGCATCCGCGAAGGGCGCAGCGCGACGTTTCGGTTTTTTTCCGCTCCCGTTATTTTCTCCACAGCGGCTCGATCTGACACAGCTCCACAATGGAGACCAAACCGGTCATCACCTGCCTTAAAACGCTCCTCATCGTCTACTCCTTCGTGTTTTGGGTAGGTGCAAATCTCATTTTAATAACCGCATATCTAAAGAAGACCAAATGCGGCCGCTGCGCCGCTGTGCGTGTTTTTGTTGTGCGTGATGAAAGGCCGCTCGGTACCAGCATCGTCGATGGAACCGGGCTGTTGACTGAGAAAATTCAAATGATTTACAGAAATAAGGCCGCTGTCTTGCGCGTTTATGCGTAAAAGCAAGGGCGCATTGCTCCTTATGTAACCAGGGGCCACAGGTTTGTGGGCAACTGGGCGTCAGTGCGTTTATCTGGCATCGTAGCATCATGGTCGGTGTGAAGGAGGTGGAGGATGTTAACTGGAGAGGGAAATAAAATATTAGAGGAGAGGAAAGCAGCATTGGAAGTGTTGGAGCAGGGGCTGGCCTGTTTTCTGAACAGATACTGTAGATTTTAGGTTTGCTGCTAAGGGCCCTTAATGTGTCAATTCTAAGTGCTGGAATGTAATGCGTTTAGGATATTTTCACTTTGAGTGGGATTATTCCCACAGGAAATATAATGGCATAGTCTCTGTATGTAAGGAGCTCCTGTTGCTGAAATACATTTTAATTAGATTGCTTCAAAAATGAGATTATTGGAACTAAAGCAGTCATTTTCCTTTTAAAACACAAAAACAGTCTCATGTGTTATTTAGATGAAGCAAAACGCATAAAGTGTCTAAAACCCCTCAAGCATGAACCATTTACAGATGAAAATGAAAGCGTTTTATGCAAAGGTTTTTACTATCACCATTAGTGTTACTGGCAAAAGGAAGAGATGAGCCAAAAAGCTGGGCTCAGCTCCAATTTGGGAACATGGACATTTTTTTTTTTCAAAGACTTGTACTTAAAACTTACCCACAGCTTTCAGTTGATTTTTTTTAACCAGTTGGTGTAGGGGAAAGATTAATCTATTTATAAAATTTAGCCTGTTTCTGAAATGAAAATTAGGTTTGGATAGTTTCTGCTATTCTTCACTGTTCTGTTTTGTCACCTCCTGGAAGATAAATGGATAGATATTCCTTCAGAAGAGCTTTTTTTTTACTGGTTGACAGACATACCCTATTAGAGCCATAAGAGTGATACAATTGTGAAACACTTTTAATATAGCCATGTAAAATATAAATACCCATGTAAACACCCTGTATAATGATCCTACTAAAAAAGAAAAAAGCTGTCATATATGGATGCACTGTATATACTGTATTTCATGCACTTTTTTCTTCCATTGGCACATTCTTCTTCTTTGACTATTTGAGCTGATGTAACAAGTACATTTCTCCACTGTGAGATCAATAAAGTCAATCAATCAAATACAAATTAATTATTTTAAACCGTTCCGCTGTTTTTTAAAGCAGGCAATAAGCAATTAACTTAAGATTTGCTTACAACAGGGAGTTAGTACCATATGTGGATGATGACATGTCATCTAATTATGCATGTATCTGATTGGGTATTACTGCACATGAGATACAGATGCTATTTCGTTTTTAATAGAACAGTTTTTAAAGAGAAGATATCAGATGGTGGAAAAAAAATAAAAACACACATAGGTGAGTTAGGAGAGATACAGAAAGCAGGGAGTGAACAGCCAGACCAGGTAAGACAGGGCTTACTGTTTTCACTTTATGTATGCCAATCACTTTGAATTAGTAAATATCCAGTTTAAGGACAGGTGCAACTAATTTCTCCCCTTTTCTGATTAAAATGAAGACAGTAAACCTGTAGTGGCATTGGAAGTCATTTTGAACAGGGGGCGCTGTGAAAATGTCTTTTTGGGACAAAAGACCTATGAGCCTATAGGCCTATTTAAAATACAATTAAAATAGATAATTAAATAGATTGAGATTCACTACTTTATTGTCATATACACTTAAGTGCATGCAACCAGGGTCTGTAACACAGACATCATCAGTTCTCAGGTGAATATATGAGCTATTAATTAAACTTCACAATAACACTATAACAGTGTAGATTTGGTTAACTGACATGAACCTGACTCTCTGTGTTTATGTCACATGTGGCTCTATTAGAGCCAAAATCCTTTTATGCAAACCACAAGGAAATAATTACATTATTATACTATTTAAACTTTATTGAACAGTGCTCCACATACATTACAAAAAGAACACAGGATCAAAATAACACTATAAAATACTGTGGTTACATTAAACTGCACAAATAGATTTGAAAGTGCGTGGCAGCACCATGCTCTTACTTAAAGCTATAGGCAGGGTTTCCTGGTTACGGGTGTCCAAATGTTCAGGTGTGCTCTGAGGTCATAAAAAAATGTGAGGTCATAAAGTCTCTCATGAGCGAAAGAATCTGAAATGCACTTGTGTGCCATATTTCCTCCTTGTTTCTGTCATTGACTATGTACATTCACTAGTCTGCTGTTGCGAGCGGAATACCTCGCTCTAGCTTGCTGGACGTTACCATGAAAACGTAACTTCCATGAACTTGTGTTGATTAGGACTCAAAACAATTAAATAAAAATCCAAATACACGAAATAGTAAAATAAAAAAGTCTAAATAATTTCCCAAAATATTCATAAGAAATGTCTAAATTGTGCAAAGTATTTTTAATAGCTTTTTTTAAAATCTCCCGCGGCCATGTGCTTGCATGAATTAGAGTAACAACTATAATCAAAGCAGAACAGAATCATAATGTTTCCAAGACGAGTTCATGTCTGAGGCAGACTCACTAGGTGCAGAGCCCTTGAAATCATTTGCTGCAGTGTCTGCGTGTTAGCTTTCTAAGCTACTGGTCTTAGACTTTCTCTTCCCCAATAAAAACTATATAAATAGTATATACATATATAAATGTTCACTTTATAAACTCTGGTGGAAGCTTTAGACTTAATCACCACCAGTTCTCTTTTGTATTGGCGTTCAGTTATGCATAGATGTACAACTTTGGTTTTTAATATCTTCTCTCGTGATTTGGGTTCTGAACTGCATTTTGCTTGTTTTTTTCTTTCTTTGCCACTTATTGAAATGCTTCGATGCTTACTAAATATTCAGTTATGTTTACACAACATCTTGACATACAGTCTAATTACAGATAAAAGGAAGAAATCAGCATTTTTATTTACGGTACATGTCTTTTGTACATGATTTCCTCATTTTTTAAGCTAGGGAAAATAATATTGGCCTTCTTTCAGCTTGCTGAGCAGCTCTGCACAACAACAGGTTGGGGAGGGGACAATGATGTATTGCTTTAATTTCAAGACATTAAAAACATTTTATGAACTTAAAAGTACTTCTAAGAGTTCATTTTAGTGATTAAAATATAGGAAATTTACCTCTGCCTAATTAATGTCAGCTTCCTTTTCTCTATTGACTGTTCTTGATGCTCGATGACTGTGTTGCTTTACACCTTTAACATGCAAAATATATGCCACAATTTTTTTTAAATAAACTACTTAATTAGGCAATTTGAATTTCATTGAATTGGACTCAATAAAATTGTGAAAGTTTGGTTACCTTGTCTGATTTATCCAAGAAACTCTTCATGTTTTCAAAATCCCAAATATGTTATTGAGTTTTTATTTCTGACAGAAATTGAAAGCAAAAAAATACATTACTAAAAGAAAAGGAATACATTAAGATTTGTTAGGCTGTGTGTGTCAGTAAATGTTTAGAGCTGTACCATACCAAATCAGTTTTTAAAAGAGAGAAATGTATCTGCACTGCCCAACTATATTGTTGTTATACAGCAGGGGAAGAAAGCATAAGACACACCCTGCAGTATAAAACAAACCAGTCCTGCACTATGGAATCTTTCTTAATTTCCAAGCATCTTCAGTCAATGCATATGGAGCATGTTACATAAGCATACAGAAAGTTAAACAGATAATAGATAAAAGATTTTTAATATGTTGATAGAGTTGTGATTTTATTGTACCCTGCAGAGATTAGATACACCCTGTGCCGGATGAAAGAAAGTGACACCAGAAAATAACAGATCCTCCTCCATGTTTAAGAGTAAGAACAGTGTTATATTTTTATATGCTTCATTTTCCTGTCTGTAACCATAGATCTGATATGTCTTGACAAGATTGTAAACATCTGTGATGATCATGATTAGTAGACTTACCTTAACTTACCTTGTCCTTTTGTCACATTATTTTCAACGTTTTCTAAGGGTAGCAGCATTTTTTCCTAGGCTTGTTTCATGAGTTTATTTTTTTCAAATCATTTTGTTGAAGCATGGTTTAAAAGCAATGTCTGACTTTTATTTTAATAGAATTTCTACTTATTACATTTCTCAGATTCAAGTTATTTTTGTGTCCATTGTGGGTTTTTCTTTTATCCTGACATAGAGGATGAGGCTGATTCTGTTGGGTTATGTTTTTTTTAGCTCTGATTTTGGATTTCTGAAGGTTCTTCGCTTTAGATTTTGAAAAAAAGTACCAGACTTGGTAAAAGTTTCTGAAGAACACATGAACAACTAAAAACAAAGGGCTGAAGAATTCTGTTCAACAACTTCTTATTCTTCTTACATATTCTCTCTGTGAACTCTCACTAACACGACTGAATTGCTTTTGCTGGATCTGGGTAAGGCACATTTATTTTTATAGCACAATTCAGTACAAAGACAATGCAAAGTGCTTTACATGATTAAAATATAGGAAAATAAAACAGAATCAAAGCAAGTAGGAAAAATAAATAAATAAATAAAATAGAATAAAATAAAATAAAAAATGCAAAAACAAAAAAGAACATTAAAAACACTTGGGTAAAGCTAAATGTTATGGGAGCGCTGATTCCAGTCCCCAAGTTAGATAAGTCTTGCAAAGCTGAAAGAGAGAGCTGAGCATGGACTGTGGTCACAGACGTGAACCTTTTATATTTAGGCTGGATTGGGTGGTCTGCCAGTACTCTCTAAAATCTACTGCATCGGGTTTCAGGCAACCAAAGGGAGGAGAGTCATAGCTTGGCCTGGGGGGGTCTCAGCAACTCCCTTAGGGCAGGAAAACTGGTGCAAGATAAGAGAGATTTC